ACTGAGGATGATGTTTATGTTTTTTTATTTTGTTTATATTTTAATCTAAAATAAAACATATATGATAGTTATAGTTGTTACTTAAAATAACTTTTAAATGTTTCTAGTGTTTTTAAAAATAAGTCGAATTATTTTCATTTTGTTTTAAGCCATGTTTTTAAAAAAAAATAAGAAAAAATAAAATAAAACAAAAAATAATCCACAACAGACCTTAAGAAAACGTGCTCCAAGTATCTTCCATAAAGATACTTTAGGATTACATGTCATTGATCGCAAAGATATTGGATAAAATATTTTAAATCCCATTCCAAGGATTTGTTAGGTTGAAATATGGCAGTGTTTTTTGTAACGACATAGGCTATAAAGCTAAATTTAAATAGAGCAGAATGGATGATACCGGCAAACGGTTTTGATTGTAGAATTTCAGCAAAACAGTAACTAAGAAATGCTGAGAAGAATTCCGGAGACAAAGAACATCAAAAGAAATTTAATCGATGTAAAGGAAGCACGAGAATACTCATGGCTAGACACCATTTCGGCGGCCAACTACAGGATACAGCTGTAAGGAAGATGAGGGGGACCAACCTTCCCAAAAGAAAGAAACTGGCAATTCTAAAACTCAAAATCTGCCCTTGCACAAAACACCCCTATTTATAAGTGCTAAGACACCCTTTATTATAACTTTGTCATCCAAATCAAAAAACACAAAAACAGAGAACTAAAACAAAAAAAATTGAACTATAGCATAAAGTGGTCCACAAGTACTGGTGCTCCCGCTTCATTATCCCGCGATCGAAAAAGATTCAACTTGGGTCTTGAATTCCGATTTGGTCAATTTCGGCGAATTTCGGCAATCTAATCATTTTTCCTAGCTACTACATTCACCGGATCAACAATATTCTAGAAATGTGCAACTTTCTCCGCCATTTGAGATTCAACACTACTGGATTTAACTTCATATCATCTGACCTTGGTGGAACATCAACCCTTGGGCTTCAGCTCCTAGACAAGCAATAGTATCCTCCATAAATGTTGAAGATGGTTGGTTAAAATTATCACAAGATGTAAGACCCACAGCTAATATTCTCTGGTCAAGGCTATCAATTCCAACTATACAAGGAGTATCATTGATGTCACCACAATCAATAGATGGAAATACAATGACTTGAGACTCAGTGGTTCCTGGTGGCTCACAAAAATTTAGAACACTTTTTTCAAAAAAATTACCAAAGTCTCCAAACTCTTCAAGAAGTGATTGAATGTATATACCAAGTCCTCTGTCCTCATCATTCCAAACCCAACTAGAACCGACTTGAACATTTGCATACCAACCAAGAGCTAAATTATTTGCATCAACAATTCGGATTTTGCTGCATTTTGTGTAGCTGCACTTGCAACTATAGCTGCTTGACTAAAAACAATAGTCACATTTGAGTCAATATGCTTAGAGACCATCTTGCCATCATTATCAAACTGTTTATTCGATGATAATTTGAGCCATCTGGACGTTAAAGAATCATATACTTCACTATTGATAAAAGGAATCCTTCTAATTTGAATGGTATTTGCAATGAACTCCACCAGATTGTGCAACCAAACATTGTCGAATGAGCTTTTCACTCTAGGAATTCCAACGTATTTCTCCTCATCATACAAAGATTGATCATATATAGATATCTATGATGATTCTGACACTAGACCTCCAATCCAATAGAAACTTGAGAATACTTCATTAAATGGGTATTCATCTTCCTCAAGAATTTTATATTTGTGATCCACCTCATGTTCTTCCACTTTTCGTTGTTCAAGAACAACCATTCTTTTTTGAATACACCGGATCTCCAATGGTAAACCTTTCATAACGAGTTCTTGATTGGGACTTGCAACATTTTTTCATGGCAGCATATTGTTTCGTTGGAAAACCACAATTCAAAACAAGCAAAACACCAAGAACAAAAACATTGTGGACATATGTATTGGAATAGTCGGAACCCCAGGAAATCTAGACTTTGTGAACAAAAATCTCAAATTGTTGGACAACAAACAAAAGAAATCACAGGGAACCCAGAAAGGAAAGAATGTTGTCTTTGAAGGAAGGTTGTGGAGAATAGGAAGGAGAGGAAGAATTGTAGAAAAAACCCCAACCATGATGAACAAGACGGTAAAATATCTCTTTCGGAAACCGGAAATCAACGTGGAAGAAACAAAAAGATAGAAGACTTGTTGATTCCCAGAAGCACCGAGAAGACAGGTTCAACAGCCCAATGAGAAGGCTTAGAGGATCTTGGCAAGAATTGGGATCAAGAAGCCAAAGCTCTGATACCAAAATGATACCGTTAAAATGGTATTATAGTAGAATTTCAGCAAATAAACAATCAAGAATCGCCGAGAGAATTTTGATGGCAAAGAACAGCAAAAGGAATACTATTGATGTAAATCAAGCACATTAATACACACGGCTAGACACCACCTAGGTTGCCAGCTCTAGGATGCAACTGTAAGGAAAATGAACGGTTGCCCAACCTTCCCAAAAGAAAGAATATAACAATTTAAAAACCCAAAATTCACCCTACAAACAAAACAGCCCCTATTTATAAGCACTAAAACCCCCATTATTACAAGTTTGTCACCCAAATAAAAGAACACATAAAAATAGAAAATTTAAACATAAAAATTGAACTATATATAAAATTATGTGTAAAATTTAAACAAAACAGCTCCCACATTAATAGACATCGAGGTTTACTACAGCAGAAAAAAGATAATAGACATCGAGGTTTACTACAGCAGAAAAAAGATAGGACAAGCAACTTGTCGATTATGAACTAGGTTTACGGTACAGTAAAGTTGTTCGAGTGTCAGCAGAATTAATACTTATAGTCTCCTATAACTTCTAGTAGGAAAGGTGATGTTTAATTGCTAGCAGCAAATAGATGATAGGTCACATATTTCATTGGTATAGCGGTATAAACGCACTTTTTTTATTTTTTATTATCTTTAATGCAAAATGCAGCTTTTCAAGGCTACTACCTCTGAGAAGGAAAGCAAGAATTTTGAAAGCTGAATACCATGAGCACTACTTTTCACTCTTTCAATTGTTGGAAATAAAATCCTTATTGAAGGACTCCTTAATTCATGTTCAGTGCTCCAGCATCCCCACTGAAATAAAAGAGATTCAAACAAATTGCAGAAAAATGAGCATACTAAATACTTAACAAATTATAAAGACAATAATCATGACCTCAAAAAAGTTTTTAGTTACCTCTGGGTCAGATTCTTCAGACTCGGATAACTGAAATGACTTTTTCCCAGCAGCGGCTGAAAATGCTGCTAGAAATTGTGGATTCATTGACGTTCCAACAGAAGAAGAAGCTTTGTACATGAAAATAGCAGCAAGAAAAATCAATTAGCTAATGGATGCGTTTAGCATCAAAACAATTCTTGTTTAATGATTAGTAATATATACCATACACAAAATCTGTTTCTGAAAACTGTGGCCATCTGTGCTGAGACAAAACCTAATTTCAAGTTTTAAAAAACAAATAATATTAAATTATTAAGTCTAGATAGATGTAAAAAGATATAAGTACAAAGGTTATTCAACCAGCGAAAAAAAATAAAGAAGAACAAAATATGAGCTTTTTCAACTTCTAGTTATTCCTTATTTAACTAATGATGATAGCCACTTAGTAGGAACTAAATGACGCAAAGTAAACAGGAGAAACGTAACAATAAATAAAAAATAAAAATGGATCCCACACACAAATAATAGTTCCATTAACCAGATATTTAAGATGCAGAACCCCCTTAGACGAGGCAAATTTGTAAATGCATGTATCCAAAATTTTCTTAAAAGGTCATATCACACCAAAGGCATTGCAAAAAAGATGCACTATAATGGAGATAGAAGCACAATTTAAAACAAAATAAATAAATAAATACCGACATCATATGGCATAAGCTGCCCAAATGTTTATAGAAATACTAGTGACATGGAGAATGTGGTTCTGGTATGGCATCTTCTTTCCTTTCTGAAGAGACTCTCAACTATGAACGCTAGCATCATTTGAAACTTTGGCAGTCATATTCGCTTGAATGTGAATATCTCTTATTTAAACACTTCAAGATTTACATGACGGAATAGTTTTAGAAAATTATCTTGAAAATTTTATAGGGAACATAAAATAGTTTATCACAATAAAAACTGATAAAAACACGCTTAAAATAAAAGTTTAAAGAAGAAATGAAAGATTCAGGAATGTTCAAGGCTGGAAAAATGAAAGATTTAATTGATTCCCTTTAGGGTACTATTGTGATACCTCTTTTAGACGCCAAAGACCAAGGCACCGTTGGATGGATGCTATAAATGAGCAAAAAGCAGGGAAGTGCTCAGGTTGAAGTAATCCTGATATTTCAGAAAACTTTGGCCCCTACATCGCATAACTTTTCTGTCATTTTCATATGATCAGAAATACGCATCATGTGAAAATCGCGTGAAATGGAATTTTGCTAAAACTATTTTCAAAAAACATAAAAAAATAAAAAATATTCAATCTAAATAAAAACATGCCTGTGCTATCAATAGTAAGCAATGCACTTTTGTATTATTTCCATCTAGTGCAACTGCAAGGGCATCCTTAGGACATACAAATGCAGAAAATTCTAAAAACCCATGATCACCAAGGGGAGCTGCCCACTTTGCAATATCTCTAGGAAGAAAACCAAGTTGGACAGAGTCTGATGGAAGAGAATAGTGATAGGGTCAAAAAGTACAAGTAAATGTAAACATTAAAATAAAATATAATCCAATAAATGCTTGAAGAAGAATTGATGAAAAATTATATCATTTTAACCTGAATAAAAAATTCAGATACAGCTCAAAAAGAGAAATATTGATCTTTTCTCTAACTTCATCCATTTTGAAAAATAATTATGCAAATGTGATAAAAAACTGAGGATGATATTTGGGAATCTCATGTCAATTCAGGAATGGAAGATTGGCATTGGTTATCCAAATATAATAATAGCGTTATTTACTAGGATTCCTCGGAAGGATAATTGAGGTGTGAAAGATTTTACGTAGATAAAATATCCATGCAATTAAGCCAAATTAGTTTCATTAGCAAGGCTGGACAAATTTGATGAGCAATATCATGATTAATAAGATAAAAAAGAGAAGTAACCTAGAAGATATAATTGATGAAAGTAGCAAAAGATTAGAAGTCTTTTCTCAACAAGAACCTTACCTCTTTCTTCATGAATAGCTCCTTGCTCCTCTTTTTCCATTTTCCTTCTCTTCTTGCTATTTTAGTTCCTTCCCCGTCCTCTTCTTGTCTTTTTGTTTCGTTGCACGACACTGGACTTCAATTCCCTTTAATCTTTGAGCACACAGTTTGAAGGAAGAAAGAAGGGAGAGGGTGAAAGGGCTGGTCAACCTTGGTTTGAGAGGACAAAAGGCCTAGGTAGGACAGAAAGAATGTGGAGTGGCGAATTGATCATTAAATTTGATTTCACTGATGAAGAAAATCCACAATAGTTGATTTAAATCCTACATAAAACCAATCACTAAATCTAGAAAAGATTAAAAAACAATCTTACTTAACAAGGAAAAATTTGTTTAAGGTGGGGGGTCAACATGACACTTTTATAGCCTAAAATTCCATCGTCTTCTTCATATTTCAAAAAGTAAACTCACTTTGAAAATTGAATTTTGCCTCGTCTTCATGGTAGACCAATCCATGCAAATGAATAAAAGGAAAAACAAAGATCATGGATTTGTATTATTGCTCCCATGCAACCTAAATTACTAAACAAACATTTAGACAAGGCAAATTTGTGACTTGGTAATGACTTCACGCTGGGAGAATGAGTTCCCTAATCCCCATCCGACATCGATCTATGCTCCTTCAAGAACCAATTCAAGTTTGAGTTATGGCTTCGCTCTTACATAATATAATTAAGATCCTGAACTTCTATGGTTTGATACCATCTTAGGCGACACCCAACACATTTGGCAGTGTTTTATGCAGTATAATCATCTTCTACGATCAAAAGATGAAATGAAATCTGAATATCCTCAGAAACTTGTTCACAGTGACAAGCTATAAAAAGGGTTTTGTTCTGCTCTCATCCAAAATTAATTAAGACGACAAAAACTAAATTAAAAAGTAGAATAATAAACACTACTTGGTGAAATCAATTGAATGGCTAATGAAAAGTACATTGACCAAGATCTCAAAGGAGGGGTTAAACACTCCAATTCTCTCTGTCAAGGAGTAGCTGCTATTTATGTGGTTTAAAGTCCTATGCACTCGACTATAAGTTATACTCATCAAATGAAGATCAAAGCTTACTCGCCCTTCCACCTTAATCACCAATTATGATATTTTTTATTCAATATTTAAATTTTTAATTTTACTTCTCCATCAAGATTTGACCAAGTCTCTATGAATTGCAAGTTTTGATATTCCTGGCAACTTGCCTGCTGATGTGTGGATGAGTTTTGGCTAGAATGCCAATTTTGGGGGATGAGTGTAACACTAGCATTATGCGCCGGTGAGCCTTCATAGTCTAAACAAAGAAAGTGCTTGTAGTTTGAGCTCAATGCTTTGTTGGATGATGAGAGAAAGGTGTCTCCCCTATACTCTCTTCAAGAAGAAAAGTTTCCTCATCTTCAGATGAAGCTAGAGTAGATGGCATCAATACCTGAAAGACTTGTTTGATTCTTGCAAGAGAAATAAAGACGAAGTGCAGGGTATGAAAAGCGCTCAAATATTATTTATATCTTCCTAATTAGAAGAATCTCCATGTAATGTAGCTATTCAAAAGTAGTATCATCATTAAGTGGTTCACTGACCAAGGACCTATCACAATATTTGGGAAGAACCATATTATGGTTCTTAGTATTCAACATTTTCCACACTCACCAGGCTATAAAGATTTTAGATTCAAAATTATCTACAAAAAATTACGACGACTTCGAGTAATTGATCAAGATTGAAGAGTGAAAGGGAAGCTAGAGAAACTAATTCCTAATAAGTCTCCTAATAAATTTATTTACATTAGAGAATCAATTATATAGAAAAAGGTGAGTCAAACTAAGTTACAAAAAAAGCAACTAAAACATTATGCGAAAGAAATTTATAATATCAGTAGAGTATGAAATTGACATGCTATTCCAATTACTTAGTCTGAGGTTTATTCATTGTGATCTTAAAAATTTCTAAAAAATGTTTTTTGTTTTTGTTTTTGTTTTTGTTTTTGTTTTTTTTTTATCATCTTTAATGAAGAACCTATCATATTTACTTTCGTACATTTAAATTGCCCAAAATCACTCAAAGCTCTCATCTCTTCACTTATCATCCTTTTCAAAAAATTTCTAACCTTCCTATAATTATTATACACCTCAAAAATATTTAATTTTTAGGCTAATTTAAAAATGAACAAGTGGCTTAAAGTGAAAAAAATTAATATTTCTATGTAAATAACAAAAAAATGAGAGGTAATTTATTTGTAACAAAAATTATCATAATAAAAAATATATATAATTAAATACATATTATAACTAAATCATAATGAAATGAAACAATAATAAATAAACCAACTTATACACTCAATTTACTTCAATAGATGCAATTACTCAGTATAATCCTTTAAGAAAGGTGAGGAGGTGGCAAACCAAAGATAAAGGAGCAAGCAAGTCACCATTAGAGAAAAAGGGAGAGGGAGAGCGAGCAAAGGCAAAGGAGAGAGAGAGGGTATGACACCGAGCAAGTAAAGGGAATGAGAAAATAATGGAGTAATTGTAGCACTAACATGAGAGAGGCCAAGCCTTGGTCTTGTTGGAGCTACAGAGTTTAACTAGGGGTGCGGCACCGCATTTTTCGCACAACGCGGCACCAAAATGCGGGTTTTTCTTTTTTTTAGAAAATGCAGCACGGGTGCGTTTACTAAAAATTCAGACGAAACGCGGGCCGCATTTCATATTAATTCATCACCCGAATTTTACTAACATACCCCCTCACTCCCCTCTCCCACAATTGAGCTTCTCCCACCCCTCTCCCACGACCGAGCTTCTCCTTGCCCTCTCCCACGACCGAGCTTCTCCTTGCCCTCTCCCGCGACCGAGCTTCTCTCTCATCACCCTAGAGGTAAGATCCCTGCTCGCCTCCTCCTGTTCAAACCTTGGGTTGCGCTTCGTGTCTGTTTGGCTTCTTTGCTCTCCCTATACCGTATGCTCTTTCATCTGTGCTTGGCTCATTTGCTCTCCCTCGGCCCACGGTATTCTCTACCACTATTCTCTGACATTATGATTTTGCAATAGTTTTGTGAGCTCTATTCGATCGTTGATTTTCGTTTGGTTTTTCACTGTTGTTGGATTTTACAATTTCTGCGATTTTGGTTTTTGCAATTCATGTGATTTTGCAATTCATGTGATTTTGCATCGATGTTGGATTTTCTTTATTGTTGATGGAGTGGTGGCTTTTACTATTGATTGGGTGGTGTTGTGGTGGTTTTGGTTATGTTGTGGTGAGGAGCACTTGTGTTGTGGTGAGGACTACTTGTGTTGTGGGTTGTAGTGGCTGTCTTATGGGCTATGGTGGTTGTGCTGTGAATTGTGGTGGTGTTGTGGGTTGTGATGAATGTGGTGTTGTGTCTTGTGATGTGGTGATTGTGGAATGTGTGTGGAGGTGTGGTTGGATGGTTGTGGTGTGGTAGTTATGGGTTGGGTGGTTGTGGTGTTGTATCTTGTGGTGTGATGGTTGTTAGTTGTATGTGGTTGGTTGGTTGTGGTGTAGTGGTTTTGGGTTGTGATGGCTTTATTGTGGGCTGTGGTGACTTTGTTGTGGGTTGGGTGGTTGTGGTGTTGTGTCTTTGGTGATTGTTGGATTTGTGTGTAAGTGTGGTTGGATGGTTGTGGTTTGGTGGGCCTGATGGTTGTGGTTTGGTGGTTGTGGTTGTGGTGTCTTGTGGTGTGGTGGTTATGGGTTGTGCGTAGATGTGTGGTTGGGTGTTTGTGGTGTGGTGACTTTGAGTTCAGTGGTTGTTCTGCAGGTTGTGGTGGCTGTGTTGTGAGCTGTGGTGGTTGTGTTGTGGGTTGTGGGTTGTGGGTTGTGATGGTTGTGTTGTTGGTTGTGGTGACTATGTGGGTTGGGTCGTTGTGGTGGTGACTTGTGGTGTGGTGGTTGTGGGATGTGTGTGGGGGTGTGGTTGGATGGTTGTGGTGTGATGGCTGTGAGTTGGGTGGTTGTGGTGTTGTGTCTTAGGTGTGTGTGAATGTGTGGTTGGGTGGTTGTGGTGTGGTGGCTATGGGTTGGGTGGTTATTTTGTTGCTTGTGGTCGTTGTGTTGTGAGCTGTGATGGCTATATTGTGGGATTTGGTGGTTGTGGTGTGGGTTGAGTGTTTGTGGTGAAGTGGTTGTGGGATGTGTGTGGAGGTGTGGTTGGGTGGTTTTGGGGGGGGGGGTTGATTTATCTTGTGGTGTGGTGATTGTTGGATATGTGTGGAGGTATGGTTGGATGGTTGTTGTGTGGTGTCTGTGGGTTGTAGTGGTTGTGTTGTGGGTTGGGTGTTTGAAATTAATAAAAATATGTGGTGGCTGAAGTAATGGTTGATTTGTTTTCTTACAACTTAAACTTGAGAAGGGGTTGGGCAGTGTGATATGTTTGTAAATGGGGCAAAGTTTTAATGTGATATTGTATGGTGTCTGTGGGTTGTGGTGGTCGTGTTGTGGGTT